ATATACGGCTTCTTACGATGGGTCTCCTTCGCTCTGCTACCCTAGCTCGAAACGAAACAGACGTATGTTTTCGCTCGCCCGTTCCCGTCTTCGTCTTCGGCTCTGGCTGACGGAGGAGTTGGCGTCGTCAATCCTGCTCGCTTGCTGCATCATCTGCTTCATCGCGTCGTCGAGCCTGGCCTGCTGCGTCGTCTGCATTGTCTCTGCGTCGTCTGCTGCTAGCGTCTGCGCGCGCTGCAAGTTCGTCAAGGCAGCTCGACTGCTCCGCAACATTTTTTGCCCGACTGCTCAACTGCTTGCGTACCAGTTGCACCATTTGCTGCAGTGCTTGTGTGAAGCAAGTTAATGGCCTCATGGTTTTCCTATGCTACCGTCGTCGCCGGCGATAATCTTATCAAACCCTCCTATGCTACAGTGGTTCACAAACACAGCTCCCCTTTCCACCTCGTAGATAGTGCGGTATTCCCGCAGATTTACCATGATTTTGTTTTAGGAAATGACGATTGCAATCTCATCAAAAAAATAGAAAAAAAGGCGGGCAAATCATTAATTTTCTTCTCTGAAGCTGAAATTTCAACTCGTGCAGGAAAATATAAATTTACACTAGTTGAAAATTTCCAATTTAGTTACCTTAAGATGGAGATCATAGAGCATCAGGAAGGTTTTTGAAGATTTCAAACTGATTGGGGATTGGCAGGTGGGCTATTTCGACGGAAGGTATATTTTGATACAACTGAGCATAAAAGATGATTACACGAGAATTTTCTCAAAGAAATTCATCACAATTGAAGACAAACATATGAAATTGCTCAAATGAACCCCTAACTTTGATCCCAGTCAAGAAGCCCCAATTGCACTTATCTAGTTCTCATTACCTGAACACAAGCATCAATTCTTTGACCTACCTATCTTATATGCAATTGAGACTATTCTTGGAAAACCTTTGCAGGTACACTTACCTACACTTCATTTCTCATGATTCTCTACTGAAAGGATTTTGATTAAACGAGATATTACACTACAAGATGTAGAAAAAGTCTGACTTAGATCTGCTCAGAATGGTTATTAGCAAAAAATTATTATAAAACAAAAATATTATTACTGCAAGCACTGCAAGATGTTTGGACACTCGCAGAAGAAATGTTTCAGATTGCACCCACAGTTGAGAACCAATAGCCAAAAGCAGGAATACACTATTAGTGCACCCCATAAGCCTGAACGCGCTCCCAACAAACCTGATGACAACCAACCTGATGAGGGACACCACAAGACAGGAGTTGGTATCTGCTCTTGGGATCCCTTCTCCTGACCATATTACAACGGACAATGTTCGAACCGAAAATCAGGATAGTCCCGCAGCTCCTATTCAAGAAGCATCAGGTGCAAAGGTAACAATTCACATTTCACATACAATGGAACATATCGCAGTGACAAAGACTGCATCTCCTCCTACTGCGGTTCTAACATTAAATCAGACTGAGGATCACATGAGTCAGTCTTTAGATGAAGACTGAGGATCACATGAGCCAATCTTCAGATGAAGAATGGTGGGTTTACACTTCTCGGCGGAAGAAGAAGGCTGGGGGCACACTCCAACTTGGAAACTTAATGAATGATACGACTCTTCAAAGTTTGTTATCTGACTCCGCTCCTAAAACTAGAGGAAGAGGCAGGACTAAACTGGCTCGTCCCAACCTACTTGCTTTTTGCATGTTTTAAATTTATATTTCATTTTATTGAGTCCATCTGTATCTTTTTGTTGGGATATTATTGTACTTGTATCGTATGGGTAGGGTACCTCTTTTGGGCTCTTCATACAACCTTTATGTATCCTTTCTATTTCAATAAAATCAGCCCTTGGGCTTTTCTATATATATATATCATTAATTAAAACATGATAATAAGTTTTGCTATAAACATATAACATTCATGACAAAGTGATCAATAGAGCAGCACCAATCAGAATAAAATTGTGCAAATGAATTTAAATGTATCAATAACTATCCATGCATTTCATTGAGAAGAAATAAATGTTCTACATCATAAATTAAAAAGTAAGAGCACTCACTTTAAACATTGATGAATCCCTTATATATCTTTCTATCAGTCTTTCCGCAGTAGAATATTGATAATCATGCATACATGATTATTGATATTTTATTATAAATAAATCTCATTTTTTAAAAAGTAATGTCTTTATTTTGACTCTAATGAATTATAAATAAATCAATATTTTATTTTAAGTCACAAAATATTTTTTTTCAAATAATATTAGTTTAATATTAATTATTGCCATAAGTAAATTATTATTATTTTTATTAATAATTATAATTCTATCAATTTAATTTCACACACACACTATCTATCATTTATTATTAAAAATTTCAAAAAAAATCAATATATAAGAAAAAGGAAAATAACTCTCGCCGCACAACAAGCATAGCACACGTCGTGGTAAAACAATTGATTTCATGGCCCTGATTTCCATCCACTAATCATGTGTTCGTTCGAGACCGAAGCCTTCAACTCTCGTGGAATCGTCAATCGATGCTCCAAAACTATCTTCGTCGTTTTTGAGAAAATCAAACCACAAACTAGCATCTCGTCTGCTTCTTCCTTCTTTGCTCGTTCACACGTAAGATTACGAAATCACCTCTCAAGCATCTACTCCCGCAAATGACATCCTTCCTTGCACGAATGGTCCACACGCATGTTGCATCATCTCCTCTACTCTTTAGAAAATAAATGTCGCTTCCCAAACACACCTCAATCCCTCATTCAAAAGGTTTGAGGTCCTCGTTAGCTCACTCTATCTCTTGACCTCTTCTCTGCTTTTGCTTCACAAGAAGTCAAAATCGTTTGGCTTCGGTAAGGGGAATTTCGTTTCTCACTTGCTAGGTTATCTTCTTTAAAACAACGTAATGTTCAGAAATGAACTGTTACAAGTGAAATTATTAAATTATCAACATAGAAGAATGACACCATCACTGCGACTGCACACATCAAAGAATTGCATATAGCATACATAAGTCATCCAAAATAGGACTGATGTAGAATACACAGGCACATAGCACATCAGATGAGCCATCCAAAACAGAGCCCGTCATTGCCACAAAATAAATAACGTCGCGACTAAACAATTTGATACCAAAGTTAACTAAAACCACAATAGAAATGCAATTATTATTACTGAAATCCAAAAAGGGTTACAAACAATGACTCTTGACAATAGGAAAATAATAGCACAAACATGGAAGACACCCTAGGGTGATGATAGAAAGGGGTGGGCTGCAGAAGAGGTGGTGGCAATTGAGAGCGGTAGGTTGTCAGGTGCTCCTTGGATAGCTAAGGAGAGGGGTTTGGAGGGTTGGCGAAAATGGAGGAAGGTATAGGGTACGGCTGGTTATAGGCAAGAGGGCGTAGCGACAGTTGCTGGCAAGAGGTGAGGTGAGCCTGGATGTCTTGGACGGTTGATTGGGGGAGTATAGGAGGCAACATCAGGGAGGAAAGGGGAGATGTTTGCAGTAGGGACTAGGCAAGGGGAGTGAGTTAAGGTAACAAGTGTAGGTGGGGTTGCCGTATGGCAGGTGGGCCGGCTGGAGCAGTGGAGGGTAGGGAAGTTACGACAGTCAGCGGGTAGGGGGAATAGCTGAGCTGTGTCTGACAGCAGCAGGTGACGTGGGTGTTGGAGGGCTGCAGTAGTGGTAGGTTGGGAGATTTGGGACGTAGAGAAAGCAGGTCTGCTGTCCTTGGGCGGGCTGCAGCAAGCCTGCGATGGCGGCGGCGGCGGTGGCGGCAACAGGTGGGAGGTTGCGGAGGAGGGGATAGTCAAGGATAATCACAACCTCAGAGCAAGATAAAATCAGAGCACCACTCAGTCCTCGGATATAGCCCTAGAAAGGAAAAGGAGGACGCCAGCGGCTGTCCAAAGAGAAATCACACCAAACTAACACTAATTCAGCAAACAAATATAAATAGAGGGGAATAGGTGGGAAACTAAAAAGGAAAAGGGAGATGCAGTGGGTGGCAATTCCATCCTCTAAGCAAGATGCTGGACCGGAACCTCCCAAGGCAGTTCAGTCAGCCTTCCCCCAAAGCCCCACATCCCAAGTAAACTAACCAAACTAATGAAGGAAACAGCTAAATCAAAAAAAAAACATCAGTACATATCAACCAAAGAAAATTTTAACCGACATAAGAATTCAGAAATAAGGAACGTATCACATTCTGATACGTCGCGCCATTACATAAATGTTTCAAATCCTCTGAAATTTTTTTTGTTAAAAAAAAAAAGACGATTAAAATTTTATTTAAAAAAACTGTAAAACTAACTAGCTCTAATTAATTGTTTGGTCTTGATGTTTCTAACAAATATAAACTTCTACATTTCCAAAAAAACAGATTGCAAAGTTATCGAACTTCCTGATGCATAGATCTCATGCAGATCATATGAATAACCTTTTTACTGGAGCTTCTCGGTGATTTTTTTTGCTTAAAGAAACTTCAGAATTATGAGAAAATTTCAAAAAATAATGATGAATTAGCCATCTGAGACCGGGAAAAGTAATTCCAAACAAAATCAAAGAAGTTACAAAAATGCCAATGTATTGCACATCAGGTATTGTCGAGCAACTTAAATTTAAAGAAACAGGAACTCCTTGAAATAGTGTTATGAAGAGAAGAAAATAACATATACTCACTAATTTTGTGTAAGCTTGATCCACCAAGTCCCTTGACTGCCCCTGGATGTACTGCTCCATTCGAGTTGCTAGAGTAGCAAACCTAAAAGAAAAAAAAAATTTAACTAATTATAAATTTTTAAGCAAAACACAGATGAAATTCACTTAAATGATCGTATGGTCCAAAATAAATTTATATAATAAAATTTCTTCGCAGGAGAAGCTCAATTATGTACTTATTAAGGTACGTTTTTCAAAAGCATAATCCAGCCCACCAAATCTCCTCCAATTATCAATTGCAACATAATCCTGGGTAAAGGGGCACTAATAGAAACAAAAATGATTGCTCTTTAGGAACATAGATCTAAAAAGTATGATTCCCATCGACCAATTACTTCCAACCTGGATATCACATACTTTTGAAGGAAACAACTTTATTACTAGTCAATGAAAGGTTACATAAACAAGTGGTTACAAAGAACAGCCAAAAAAACAAAGAAATGAATATATTAAATCAAAATAACTTGAAATTCAGAAAATAACATCCATCCAAGAGATGGGAAGCAAACCCACATTCAGGGAAAAAAAATTTGCGTACGTAAGACGTACGCAGCGCTGCATATGTTTTGGAGGTTATACAGAGGGTATAAGGGGGTTATATCCGCGTTACCCTCTTGTAACCTCTATGTAACCTTCTGTAACCTACAAATAAGTTTCGCGTTTTTGTTTTCATATATTAAGAACTTATTTATAGGTTACGTAGAGGTTACAAGGGGGTATAATGCGGATATAACTCCCTTATACCCCTTGTATAACCTCCAAAACGTACGCAGCGCTGCGTACGTCTTACGTACGCAAATTTTTTCGCACATCCAGACAATAGCTATGTTAAGAATGTCATAAGCCCTAATTAATGCCTATTTGAGGAAGGAAAACTTCTGATAGCTCTTGAGTGATATCGGAGTTAACACAAACAACAATTGGAAAACAAATACTATTGTTGAAAAAGCTAATAGACGATTACGACCAAACATGAAAACGGAAAATAACAATAAAACAGAAAGCGACTAGGGTAGGATCATGGGTGGTCGAGGTGATCGGCGAGGGTTCGGAAGTTGGCGGGATGATGGAAGAAATGGTCGGCAACCAGAAAACAGAAAAGTACAATTTCCCAGGTACCGAACAGCAAGCATGCAGCAAATATCGATGCAGACCGCCTGTCCTGGAAGATGGCAGCAAGAGGGAAGGGTATGTGACAGTTGCGGAGAGCTCCCGTGCAAGTGGGGGTAGGCGCGGAAGACTCCCGCGCGAGTTGGAGAGGTTGACCGGCCCGACCGATCCAACTGAGGGCCGATCCAGGGTGATCCCCAACAGAGTTGCCCAGGCGAGGTTTCTAACGGGGCGAGCAAAGTCCCCAGCCCCTCCCCCGCTACCTTTTCTGCTTCTGCTCCGTAGGGAAGGATTTTAATGGCTATTTTGATTATTCCCACCCTTTCCTTTTGTAGGAGTTTCTTTTCTTCCTCTTTCCTTTCTCCTCTTCTTTCCTTTCTTGTTTCCCGCCTAGATAGCGCTATATGTATGCTAATTTGCTAAGAGTCTGAGTTTTTGCTGCGAGTTAATTTCAGATTTCCTGTGTAGAATTTTTTTCCATGTTCTAAGGTTGTATCCTAGGATGTGATGGTGCTCCGGCTGCATCATACTCCGAGGTGGTAATTGTATCTCCCCTTTTTAACTTCCCTACATTGTCTCCTCCGCTTCCCTTAGCCACCTACCATCCCCAACCACTTCCTCCCTGCACTGACAATCTCCTTTCTGATGCAGCAACGTGCTGTCCAGCCAATTCAGACCACTCCCGGCATCCCGTCGGCACCCCTACAGCAGTTACCTTGCTGTCCTAGATCTTCCCCATCACTGCCCTTGCTATCCAGCACCTTCCAACCATCAATCCGGCTGCCGCTGGCCACCTACAACCCTCAATACTAGTTGTCCTCGCAATTCTACACCATACCCTCGCTGCCATGAGCACTCCCTTGCTGCCACCGTTCTTGCCAACCACCCCAACCACTTAGCCGGCATCAACCACCCTTGCAATACACCTTAGAGTGTTTGAGTCGGTTTATGTATTAGTAATGTTATTTTCATTTTAAATGTGTTGTAACTCTATTTCCATATTAATAAAAATTGTTTTGTGGTTTGGGTCTTTATTCTCAGGTATCAGTATGGGGACAGGTTCTGGAGGTGGCAACACATGGGAATGGAACGAACGGTTACTGGGAAGGCCGGGAAAGGAAGGAATAGCCATAAGGTTGTGAAAGGGACTGTCTTGGCGGCTGGAACAACTGCAAGGCTGCAGAGAGGAACGATTGCTTGGGGCGGCTGCAGTGAGAGGGAATGGCAGCAGCAGCGACGGGAATGCGGATTTTCCGGGAAGATGGCAGCAAGTCGGGCGGAGTGCGGAGGATGAAAAAGTTGAGGATAAATACCACATCGAAAGCAAGATACAGCTAGAGCGGCACTCGACCCTTAGTAGGAGAATCACCATCTCGGAACGAGATACAGCTGAAACATCACTTGGCCTTGGATAAAGCACTAGAAGGGAAAAGTTGGAGCCGCCGATTGTTGTCCCAATAGAGAACTCATAAAAACTAATCCTAAACTCATACGAAAGAAAACATATAATAATAGGATAACTGGGAGTGGCCCAAGAGGACCGGCTGACTCCTCAACAGGACAAAACTTGGACCGGTTCAGTCCAAGTAAAACAGCCTAGTTGTTGCTTCGTTCACGGGGTTTCCATGTCGGGAGAAGGGGTGCTCCCTCATCATTGAGACTGAACAGACCTGGAATCATCAATATCTCCACATCAGAACAATCATAGATGGCATTAAAAACACTGTTGTGATGTCTCAAGTAGAGCGGGAATGATTAAGGGACCTCCATCTGGTGATATATAGCTTACCTAAATAAGGCACTTGAAGTATCAGTAGGCTTGAAAACCATAAATAATGATAACTGAAATAGGGAACAGAAGAAGAAAATTAACAACCAACAAACCAACAATGGCAGGGGAAGCCATAGATTCAAAAAAGGAAGCTGAAGTTTTTCTGAAGGATGAGAACCTTCCAAAGGGACCAGGCAGAAGGAGCATATTTGAAAAGGTTGATCATTAGTATTTATCACACATTATATCATGACCAAAAGAGCTATCCTAAATCATAGGGCCCGTATAAGATGATATTCTCAATTTCAGACGAGCATTGAAGCAATCAGCATAATCATAACCTAAAATTTTGCAAAACAGTTCATAAGTGGGCAAACAAACAAATTCCACTTGTTGTCAATAACCAATGGTGTAAGTTCCAATCCAAAATCCCCTTAGCTAAAAGGGAAGCAATGACCATTTAAAAAAATAAAAAAAAAGTGCAAAAAAAAGGGTCTGAAAAGTTTAGCGATTACAACATTTATTTGAATTGACAGTAAGCACAAAGATAAAAAAACAACTCATACTAGTGTCAAGAGATGCTTCTTGAAGTATCAAAGAATAAAGACCTTTCAGCATATGCATCCCTAGGCCAATAACATAATATGTGTGGTAAAAGAACACTTGAATAATATACTTCCAAAGAAAGTTTGCCAAGTCTGTGGTGACAATCAAGAAGCCAAAAAATAAAATCACTTATCAGTTGAAAATCAGACCTGAAAGTATGAATAAACTCCAAAATAAGCAGCCAAAGCCAAATTTATTTACAAGAAAATAAAATGATTTTGCCATATCAGAAATATCATCCTCATAAAAAATAAGAGTGGGATTACCAATGAAAGGTATTGGGCAGCATGTTTCCAGTATAATTCTAGTCATGTTGAAGCAATAAAAGGAAATTCCCAAACGAATCTGGCTGCAAAGAACCCTTCCCCTAATAGCATCAGCTTAAGAAAGTGAGAATGTTAGGTTTTGAGGGCAGTTAAGCCAAATTGTAAGAGTTAGTGGACCATCAATATCAGAGGGGACCATCAAGAGGCAACTAATGAATAAAATAACAAGTCGTAGCATCAATGTAGGTGTTAGGAAGAACCATAATAGGGGTGAAAAACAAGCCACGGGGAAAAATTGAAATTAGGCTCCACAAAGGTTGCTGAAACAAGCTGCCAAGAAAAACATCAACAACACCAGCAATGAATTTTGTCATTGAACAAATGCAACGAGTGTATGAGGATGACGTTGATGCAAGGAAAGCTACAGAAAGCTATGAGCGAGCACAACACAAGGGGAACACCAGCAAATGAAGAAAATCATGAATACAAGTGCAAGTGAATGCAAACATGGGTAAGCTCAGATGCAAATGGGCACAGGCCAGGGAAAGGTGGGGAAAAATGCTAGGGTTGGAGGAAGGGAGGGGATGGGGAGGGCACGAGTACTAAAAGGCAAGGGTTAGGATGCCTACGAGGAAAAGCAAAAGACACAAGCATGGCATCATGAGAGATTAATTAACATCACATCCCCGTAAATAACTTTTATTAATAGCTAAATCTGATTTCAACAATCACATTCATAAGCTTCAACTGACTGCCTCTGCAACTTAGTTATGGAATAGTCCCAATAGTACATTATCGAAAGTTGTTCCTGACTAAAATTATACGTCAATGATAAAAGAGCAGAGCTAAATTTGCTAATACAAAATGTATATTTAACATCACCAAGTACTAAAATTATAACAGTTTGCACTGAATTCTAAGATCATCTCCAGAAAAAAAAATAATCCATCAAAACATTCATAGTAAAATTTAATTTCCATAAAAAAATGATTTTGAGGAACAACAGACTTGAAACTTCATAGAACCATTTCCATCAGACACTCAACGCAGAATACAATGCATGGAGGTTTTGATAAAGCAGCTTCACCAATCAAAAAGGTACTTTGATCACTAACAGACTATTTTTTACTTCAGCCTAACGGATTAAGGCACTTATATCTACATTTGCTGCTCAGATTCACGTTAATTTTATCTAAATCCAGTCGTAACTTAATACTAGTAACATCAAATAAGTATAAACCATTTTCAATTTCTCATTTAACTCATAAATTTTTTTCTTAGTTTGTAGGGCTTCATCAAACCAAACATCAACTCTTGCAAAATTGAAAAAATTGTGATTTCATGAAAAAAAGAAGATTATTTTGCACCACTGAAATAGAATTCTACATAAGACATCAGGTATTTAATTATTATCATAAAAATTAACATTGATCCTGTACTACACATTCTATGGCACATTTCATTTCTCTCTTTTCTTTCTTTTCTTTTGTGAGTGAGCATGGCACACACATTGCCAGCAAAACGATCTGCTGCAGCCACTAAAGGCCATGCTAAAAATTTTAAAATATGCAAGAACTTTCGTCCATTTTCTATCCACATGTTTCATGGTTCAACAGCATCTTTCAGCCACTAAGACACCACCATTGGGCTAAATAGTTGGTACATGCAAGTGAGGTGGTAACCAAAAAGTCAGATAAAAAAAATTTTTCGCTTTGTTACTGTACCTTGGAATGTAAGATAGAACACCCATTTGTCGCACATTACGTTCATTCCTCTCAATCTGATGGCAAGCTTCATCAACAAACTGTAAATATATAAAGAAAAAAAATGCATGAAATACAGAGTCAGTGAAATCAATCCATCAGAGAATCAATATTGAAACACAAACCTTATTGAATTGCATTGATATCCTGGATTCCAAGTCATCTAAAAGCTTACGGACAAATCCTGCAGCATCTGCCTTTTGACCGGAGAGGTAGCGCTCTGTAATCCCGTGCATAGAGATACAGCGAAGAGGATCAATTTTATATGCCCAATCTACCACTGCATAAAAGTCTTCCTAAACACAAAGAAAAAAAAAATTTCAGTTAACCATTTTTTCGCCTTTAAAATGGCCGAACACCAAGCAATCCTTATCATTTTGTATAAAAACTAAAAGTGAATCAATTAATTAAACTGTAATTTTGATATAAAAAAGGAAACCTATTAATTCAAGGCTAACTACCTCCCACCCACTAAATGTGCAAGAAGGAATCCTCCTAATTTCACCATCATGTCCCCTACCACGCCAAAATTTCTAACACACAGCCAAAGAGTTCTCCCACTGAAAATTTGTTCTCACAATAGCTCCATGTCTTAATTCTCCCATTCTAAGTTCTAAATCCTTAAATTCTTTTCTTCTCTCAACGCACAACTACTAGAATTAGAGAAGATAGCAAATTCACTGCAATATGTTAATGTTTAAAAAATATAGATCCTTCAGAGTGAAGCTCGACAAAGTTATTCCACAACTCACGGACAACACCTCAAACTAGAGATTGGGTCACAATAGGTCTTCTCCTTCAACAATATTTCCCCATAGACTTGCAAAAGCAACGGCAGACAGATACATGGTGGCTTAGGAAGTGAAACAAAATTAATATAATGAGAGAGATGGAGGAGAAGTTAGTCGAAAAGAATTGAATTAATAAGAGGTGATGGAAGAGAAGAAAAAGATGAGTGACAAGGGTTCACCGAAATAATGGCTAGGAGGTAAGTGTGGGGTAACATGAGTGAAATAAATGAGAAGAGAGAAGAAACTCAGGGAGGTGGGGGTTGCAGGATTAGACAAAGGAAAATAAGAGTAAGGGAGAATATTTGAAGCAAGCCTACGACTAAAGGAAGCTGGTGCACAATCTATCAAAAGAGTAACTATGGCACTAAAAGATGAGGGGACATAGTGTAACAAAAAAAAATAAAAAAAAAAAAAAAAAAGAGAGAAAGATGCAGCCATAGTCAAAGGGCAAATACCAAGAAGAGGTGGTGGACAAGCAAACAGCACCAAAATTCTTCATTGTTGCATCATAAATCTTAAGAGTCATACTTTCTAAAAAATTTACAACTAAAGATAAATACTGTTAGAAGTTACATTATGAATTAATTTATTCCTATTAGAAGTTAGAATGATTAGATTTATTTCCTAATATAATTTCATTTTCTCGGATTGAATTTATTTTCTTTCCTATTTTATGTTGTTCCTTTATTTTCAAATAATTTATATGAATTGATTAATTGAAGATATTAGATGTTATATCTTTCCTTTCCTATTATTTCTTTTTATTGTCTTTCCTATTCTAGGATTCCTATAAGAGTTATTTATGCCTCCATTCATATCAAAAAAACATTTCGCATTATTTTGAATTTCAACATAGTATCAGAGCCTAATTTTGTACCCTAGCCACCGGTCCTCATAGAACCGCCAGACTCCCTTCCCGTCATTCTCTGCGCAACAAAAGAGGGGCACTCGTCTTGATACTTGAAACTGCGACTTTTGCTTCTTCTCTCCCTACAGGCTTGGCCTGTCGATTGGCCTTTTCCAGCGAAGGGGATATGGAGGGCTGGCTTAGAAAGTTCAGTCCAACTTTACTAGACCGGCCAGTCCTAAAGGGGAGGGATTGCTGACCCTACACCTCTCCCATTCCTTTCTCTCGCCACTCACTCTTTCCTTCCTCTTACTTTCCTATTATAAGTCAATAACAATTCTAAATTCTGATTTTTTTACTCATTCTTGTCTAATGTTAAATTCTATTAGTTCATTCATCTTATTATTTTTATTCTTCTTTCTTATTTTAAACATTGCCTAAAATAAGTCCTAGGCATCATTATAAACAGAAGGTGTTATGCTTAGAGTTTTTTTTGTGTGTTTTTTTTTTTTTTTTTTTTTTTTTTTTTTTTTTTTTTTTTTTTTTTTTTTTTTTTGCCTTTAGATTTGCTGTGTGGAGTCATTTTATCTTTTGTAATGTTGTATCTAAGGAGATGGTGGTGCTCCGACTGTATCCTACTCCGACGTGGTGATGTATCTTCCTTTTTCATCTTCCTTAACACTTCTCCTCCACTTTCTTTAATTGTCTCCAATCCCTCCCAAGCACACTATCGCCCCCTTTTCCGTAGCATACTCCTGTTGTCCAACCCGCAAGCGTTCCCCTTACTTCATCCCAACACCCAGACGCCCTTCCCTTTCCAAGACTTCCTCTTTGCATCCAACAATTTTTTTCTTCATCATCGTTTTTCTTCATCATCGGTTTTGAGGGGGTCAGCAGAGTTGCAAAATCTCCATAAAATTGTTAGTCATGCAACAACTTTTGTTATTCAGATGCCTCTTGATCCGTTTTATAATCAGTACTTGAGTGCAGCACATGCTGCTGCAACTAACTTCAATTATCCTTCTTTTGAGAAGAACTTCATGGATAATTCTTATGCAGTTTCACTGGGCATCCAAAAAAGCATATCTTGGGGCATTGCTTCAACAACAGAAACAGTTGGAATGTCATTTCTTGGTAAGTCTGGCTATTATGGCAGCTCTTTTGGTCTTCGTCTGTCCTATCAAGGAAGTCCTTTAGCAAGCCCTATTCTCCCATCTTCGCTTGTTGGATCTGGTAGCCCTTTGAGACATGCCGAGCAGAGTAATATGCATATTCCTTCAGGCATGAAAAACTTAGTAGTGTTATGAGTTCTTGGCATTTGGATGGTGGTGGGAACATCCACGAACTATTTTGTGTCCTCTCTTCTAGTGGAATTTAAGAACAAGAAGACCAACTTTTATGAGCTTTCTGATATTGCTGGTCATGTAGTTGAGTTCATTGCCTACCAATATGGGAGTCGATTCATAAAATGAAACTGCCATGAATACAGAGAAGAACATGGTCCAAAAGTTTTTTGAACATGGATCTGCTACTCAAAGAATTGAGCCGGCGGATCAGCTTACAACTCATGTATTGACTCTTAGTCTGCAAATGTATGGATTTCAAGTGATTCAGAAGTCAATAGAAGTTGTTGATTTGGATCAACAGACTAAAATGACTAAAATGTTTTTTTTCACAGCAAGCCCCTCTCCAGAGTTTTTCCCTGTTGCAGACCCTTCCTCCGCCTTCTCTTTTCAATTTTTATGTCGGAAACTTACTCTCACTGCAGTCTTTCTCGCCATCGGAACTCCCTCCTGCAGTATTTCTCACTGGAACTCCATCCTACAGACTTTCCCGCATCTGAATCCTTCCCCTGCAGTCGATTAGTTGTCGGAACTCTCTCCCTACAAGTCCCTACCGCCGAAACTCCTCTCTACTGTCTGGAAAACTTCCCTTCAGTCGGCAATCGCTTTAGGCTCTCCCGAGCACTGTTCTCCTTTTACCTGAACTGAATTTGCTCTTCCAGAGCAAGCCATAAATGGTCTGTCAGATCCAGAACTTCTTCTGTGGGCCTCTGTCTGGCTTCCCTGCAGCAAGAATCCTCCTACTGATTGTCTCCATTGCCGAGACTCTTCCCTGCAATCGGAATTCCTGTGGCAAGTTCTTCGTAATCGCATTGATTTGAAGTTGTGGTTGGTATGCAGTCCCTTGATTTTCTTTCTCCAAATAGGTTCTGTGGAAAAAACACCTCATTAAAGCGGACATCTTTGCTCAGCTCTGCAAGCCTATGTCGTTCATTCTTCCACCGATCAAGATCCAATCTTGTCGGCTTCCTTTTTTCAGAAGGTGAAGTTCCTCCGATGGATTTTTTTCGCTATTGTGCCATGTTTCTTCGTTGTCATTATCTTCCAAACTTTCTTCCCCGGCTCAGTTCCGAATAAATCTCTTGCCAGAAGCATTGTTGACAGGAGTCACAAACTTTTACTGTTGGATTTCCTGATTTGGAATTCGGGGAGGGGATAAGGTTCATGTGGACCGAGCTTCTGGAGAGTATCGAGAGTGAACAGAAAGAGGTGAATTCGGTTTTAATGACATTAGGAAGGACACTGAAGCGGGCGGGGATTAGAAAATCGCGACTGGCAATGATAATTGGAGGGTTTTCACTATATGTGATGCAGTCGCAGATGATCAACATCGCTACTGCTTTGATGGAGATGGGATACTAGAGGTTGTCTCATTCGAAGATGATGTCTTCCGCAGGAGCCTTTCAAATCTGTGCCAATCATATGAACCCAGCCGATTTGCAAACTCTCCTCCGGAGTTTTTCCCTGCAACAGGCCCTCCTCCGGAATCCTTCTTGCAGCAGACCCTTCTCCAGAGCTTTTGCTTTGCCTGCAACTAGCCCTCCATCAATTTTTTTCCGGCAACAGGCCATCCTGTGAAGCCTTTTCCTGCAGTAAGGCCAACCTTTGGAGTTTTTCTTTTTTTTTCTCTTTCTACAAGGCATACCCTGCAATGTTTCTTATTGGTTGTATACTTTCTTGCAAATTCCTTTGATGAATTACCTGTAGAAACCTTCTGCCTACCTATAGACACTGTAGAAACTGCAATCAAAGACAATCACAATCAATTAGAAGTCAGTTTTTTTCTGCAGGTTATCCACTTCTCTGCAAATTCTCCTGCAACATTATTTGAATGAGTCTTCTACCTAGCTATAGACATTGCAGAAACTGCAGTCAAAGACAATTATGATTGTCTACATCACTGCAAACTCTACTGCAACATTACCTGTAGGAGGCTTCTGCTTACCTAAAGACGATGCAAGAACTGCAGTCAATGACAATCACGGTACGGGATGAAGATTTCAAGTTGTACTTAGCAAGATCTTTCTCGCCCATTGTTTGATTTTTTAAAATCCAAGTTGAATATGATTTTCAACCATGTTGCAACTTGAGGGAATGTTAGAAGCTATATTACGAAATAATATAGTCCTATTAGAAGTTATAAGGATTAGATTTAATTCAAATTATAATTTTATTTACTTGGATTGGATTTATTTCATTTCCTATTTTAGGTTTTCCTATTTTATGTTGTTTCTTTTATCTCTAAATAATTAATATGAATTGAAAATTTAAAGATATTAGATGTTATATGCTTCTTTTCCTATTATTTTATTTTT